ATTATTATTATTATTATTTACCTTAATGGTTTAAGAGTTACCACGTCACGCATAGGAGGATCAACAAGATTACGGGTTAACTTTGATGGGTCCGTATTATTAGTACCAGGTTCGCCTTGACAGACGATCCAGAATGCATGTCCATGCTATTTTAAAGATAAATAATCAGAAAAGTTTTCCAAAATATTATTATGTATAGTTTAATTAAAACTTACCATGTGGAAAGGATGAGTTCTATTTTCATTATTAATCATCACAACTTCAACTACCGAATTACTAGGAATATCATATCCATATGCATTATCAGAAGGAAGAAATTTGCTAGGATCCTGACCATCTTTAAGTTTCTTGATTGTCGGATTAGTGAAATCTGGTGAGAATGAATTCCCATTAACTATTGCTGCTAGAATGAGGGAGGGTCTCATAAGAACAACATTGATAGCGAACGACAAAGTATGATCGACTTTTGTTGGAACCGGATTAGGCGGATAGGGCTTCAAGGAATTTAAATCCATGTCATAGCAGTTTGAGGCAGATGAGGTAGGAACATTATTAGAAGCAACAGTATTTGGATTGGTATTAGGGGCACCTTCATAACGAAGAATGCCAAAGACGTTGTAATTCAAGCTAGAGTTAGAGTTGATTGTACCAGGATCGCCTGGACGGTATGGTATACTACATTTTGACATAGTTGCTCGGATCCAATAATTATCAACTGCCTGAGTACAGTTAACGATTATGGAGTAGCGCTGAGCAATATTAATTGGAAGATAGCTAACAGTGGTCTTCTTAACATTGTTTCCATCAATTTCAATTACTTCAAATTGATGTTTGTCTATAGAAAAAACAAAATGAGTCATGGCACTAGTATTGATTATTCTAAATCTATATCTTCTGCCTTTTTGGACTTTGTAAGTGGCGTATCCCTTATCTACACATGGTGTGCCATCGGTGACCTTGCTACAATTATAATGTCCTACACCACTAATTTCTCCAGAATCAGGAACAGGATCAGCACCTCTATACTGAACTGTAAAGTGTTAAGAATTTTTTTAAAAAAATCATGATAATGATAAATAAAAAATAAAAAATAATA